GGAACTCTTATCTCGAAGTCACTCCGAACCGCGGCTGAAACTTTTGTTCTTTTTCCCAGATATTTTTCTCTGCACTGCTGAGTGCACTTGTGAGAATAAATAGTGTAACGATAATAATCCAGCTCTAAGTCGCTGATGACATTATACACTGAGGAAGCTTTGTATCTGTCTCGACAATGCAATCTACAATGAAGTTTAACTTCTCTTTCGTGATTGTAGTCAGCAATTGCTTTCTCCAACAGTTCAACAGTTTCGCTCCATTTCTCAGAGCTGTACGCTCGAACTCCGTCCGCAAACAACTCATCGTACGCCGCAGATTTCACTCGAGTAACATTTAGTCTGTCCAAGAAGTCTGCACTAAGAAATGAAACCGAAAATCCGCCCAAAGTGAGCCAGAAGATTAGCCTCCCGGACATTCCGGTGCCTTCACAACTCCGATCTGCTTTTGCTTTGCTGTCGTTCACGGTGAAGAAATGAACAATCGACTGAACAATCGACCGACAAAACCAGACGTGTTTTGTTCTATGGACCAATCAGAGTACGGAATTGCTGGTGCTTTTCATTGAAAGGACTCATTGATGGCTTTTTCAGGAAAACTCGTGAATAAAGTTATGGATTGACAACTCGGCCAGCATATGAAAAGTCAAATTTAAAAACAAAAACTGACTTCACGTAAGCTTTTCATGTTTAAAAAAAAAAAAAGCTTAAGCAAATCTTTTTTTCTATTAATTTCTCAAACCCATGACTTTCCTTGATGTGCCTGAACCGGAAAGTGGTTCGTATCGGAACTGTCCTTTAAATTTCATAATGAACATCAAGCGAAAATTCATTTGCATGCTCCTATAAATTGATTTTTAAAAGTTGCTTTGACTACTTTATCTTGGCGACATCACTAAGATGAAAAATGAAAACTGAAACGAAATTGTTTCAAGGAGCGACGGGTCTTGCCCCCAAAGACTTTCCCATAATAGTTTGAACTTGAAAAACAAAAAAAAAGTTTTTGTATGATCAAGTTTGTGGAGAGCAAAGATTGCAAAGGGCTCTCTTGGCGTCATTACCGTGAAAAATATTTATATTTTTTTCTTCCAATTTTTATGAGATCTTTCAATCACTTTTTTGAGATAATCCAGGATAATCACTAAAACGAAAGTCAGATTCTAGCACGTTAATTTTCTCGTAATTCTACCTATGATCTGTACTTTTTGCAAACACTCAGTTACTATCGAGTTACTAGATATCTGGATCCAGAATTACGGAACAGGTTCCCCAGCAAATTAAGGTTGGCTACCAGTATTTAAAATGTTTTCAAAACGAACATTCGTAAAATGAACCTCAGTGGAAACTCTGCTGGATGAAGGATGCCGTAGCTGCGATCTGTGCAATAATAATTAATTAGGGTTTTTTTTAAATGCTTTTATTTTCATGAAACGTGTAACTAGACTATTTTTTAAATTATCAATAACGTTTGGTGTTTTTTACTTTTTAACCTTTTTTTAGCATTGTTGATAGAAATTATTTTTTAAAATCGAAGCGAATCGTATCGAAATTATCATTATCATTATCATTATTATTATGGTGCGTGTAATTGAATTGAGCGACCAAATAAAATGAAAAGCGACCATTTCATTTCCTCAGTAGATTCTCGAGATTCTGTTGCGAGACGTTTCCGGAATGTTATTGTCATATGTCAGTGAAAAACGCAGTCTTAAAATTCTTGAATGGGTTATCGATGATCTAACCAGTAAAGTAAATAAAATAACATCATAAATATTCTTGTTCTTCCGCCATTTCAATTTCAGAAGGAAAAGAAAACAAACAGCGGTTACAAACATTACAACTAGACGTCAAGTTAATACAGTTAAGGTTTTTAGACCATCCGCTGCCTACTTGTGATGTTTGTAACCGCTGTTTGTTTTCTTTTCCATCTAAATAAAATAAGTGTGTGATCCAGAAAAAATTCGCATGACGGATAAAGACGGATAAAAACGGATAAAAACTGGGCTTTTTTCAAAAAGCGGTTCTCTTTTACCACAAGTGCATTCAAGTTTCCAGCTCTTCTGAACCATTCCGTTTCTTAATTTGTTTTTCTTGAGAACTTGAACGCCAAAGGACAAGTCAAGAGAGAAAAAAATTCAAGGCTTTTGACGATATTAAGAACCTCTCCTGACACTAAAAGATAGCTTCGAATTGTGACTAACCTTGGCGACGTTTGTCTGCCGAAACCTTTCAAAAATACGTTTTTGGTCTAAAATGCCGTTTTGCTTTGGGATGTGCATTTCCTCTTGTTTTTCGAGGGTTGTCGAGTGACAAAAAAAAAATTGACCAGACCCAACCAGGGTCTCTCTTCACTCACTCCAGGGGGCGGTAAGATGAGAGACCCTGGGAACGAGGTTGAACCAGTTAGGGCTGATGTGGCTTCCTCTCTAAATATTGTAATTACTTTTTTATTAATTTCTGTTCATTTAGAATCCTGCATTCACACCAGAAAAGGATATTGATTTTAAGTCACAAGTGTCATCATTTAGTGCCCTTGGATTAAGAGAGGATGTTCTGAAGGCTTTGTACAATATTAAAGTAACTAAACCCACCGTCATTCAGGTGTGTATTACACTAATGCCAGTCATTCTGTAATCCAATTTAAGTTATGCTTTATGCTTGTGCACATACTACTAAGAGAAATGGTTGTCTTGGTGACATCTACACATGATCATCAACAGAGCTGGATTTATAGAACGTATAATTTTCCTTACAGATTGTGACAATTCCACCAATACTAAGAAGAGAACATGTCCTCTGTGCAGCGCAAACAGGTTGGTTAAAATGAAGTGCTATTTGTGCCGACTTTTAGAATTTGAAATTTATTTTGCTCAAAATTGGTTGTTTTCTTATTTGCTGTAATGTCAAACCTCACATGTATGCTTACCATATTTGTAGATCTTGGTATAATAGCTCATAATCCATGATGGCTAGGCCAATGAAAACTCTCGAATTGCATTATCCAATGATCCAGTTTTTAATAATAAATTATATACAAAAGTGTAGTCCTATAGATACAATAATTGCATAATAATTATAGAAACATGTGGTGATCACTTAGATAAAATCTTCTGCATCTGTTACATGCCTGGGACAGTAGTCAAATTATCATTTATGACTCTACTCCTTCCATGTGTGGAACAATTGTGACCAAACTACACTTTAATGATTTGTTCCTTTTGAGCCAAGTGGCTCATCAGGCTGGCACTTATCTCTGGTTTGTATGCAGCATGAAGCAACTAGAAGTATTTCTACTCACCCTGGATGAGATGCTAGTTCATTGCAGGGTTAACCCCAGCATTAAATTTGTGGGTGCCCAGTTATACACCTGTGTGGAGAGAGGCACGTGAGAGTAAAGTGTCTTGCCCAACAACACAACACAACGCCCCTGGCCAGGGCTGGAACCAGGACCACTTGATCTGTTATTGTGTGCATTAACCATGAGGCCACCATGCCTCCTCTAGTAGTCACTAGTAGTTGTAGTAGTCTCGTATAATATTTATTTTGCATTGTGATCACAGGAACTGGGAAAACTCTGGCATATTTGGCACCAGTAGTACATCATCTGAGAGAGGATGAAAGAACACATGGTGTGATAACGCGCCTCAAAAGACCAAGAGCTTGTATTGTCGTACCATGCAGGGAACTTGCTGTGCAGGTTTTAGTAAGTGATACGATGTATCTCAACTTGGTTACAGTGATTGAAAGGGTTGGAGTTATACATGTAATTGATTGAAAGCCAGCAAGACCTCAAATTGATATTTAGCTAAAGGCAAAAATTGCAGGGAAAAGGAAACAAGCAAAATTGCAGAAGACCGTTTTATCTTTATTTCATTTCAGACCATGTGACATTACCCTTAAGAATTATTTTGTTGAGATTCAAAAATGTTTGCTTGGAAATAAATGAAAAAGCTTCAGATAACTGTAGAGAAAGTATCAATTCTCTATAGAACATCACATGATCTGAAAATTATTAATAGTCAATTTACCTGGTTTTGATTGACAAGTGAAATAGCAAGTAAATGGCATTTAAAAATTAAAAAAAAAATACAAATATATTCTAGAGAGGAAGCTACATCAGCCTTAGCTGATTTTCATTCGGGTCTTTTATCCTGGTCCAATTGGAATTTGGAGATGTTGGTTTTTGTGGAAGGAGGAAAACTGAAGAACCCGGAGAGAAACCCAATGGCAAAAGCAAGGTGACAACCAACAACAAACTCAACCCACATATGGCATTGAGTCAGAATTGAATCTGGGCCACATTGGTGGGAGGCGAGTGCTTTCACCACTGTGCCATCCTTGCTCCCTACTGGAAAGAGATACAACTTCCCAGCAACTTGATGAAAAGCGTTTTGCTTAAGGACACTTTAACATCAAGGGTTCTGTTTAATGTAGTACAGTGCATTTTTTTTTTTTGCCTTGTGCATCGATATGTGCAAATTCAGCCACTGGGCAGAGTGTTGCCATTGCTGTATTAACATGACTTGTACAGTTGTCTTACCGCGTTGCATTCTGTAGGAAGTTGCTAAGTCATTGAGTCATCATGCACGTTTCAAATCAGTCGGGATCATTGGAGGACGAAAGAAGGTAAGGAAGTTATAATTATATCAACTCTGGATGAACATAGCTAATAATTATTATTGAAAGGCTGAGTGAAATTAATAATTTATATCACACATGGTTTTTAAAACTTATAACTTTTTAAATGTCCTTTTTCAGTCAATTTTGAGTCCAATATGGTTTGCAGTATAAGGGACAAAATCAGTGTGTTTGAGTTTTTTCTTTGAATTTTTTTATTGTAGAAATTTATGAAGGTAGATCTTCAGTCTCCAGTGGATCTTGTCGTTGGTACGCCAGGGACATTGCTTCAATTCTGCGAAAAAGGTATAGAACCTTTTGAAGTTCTTTCAAAGTTTAACTGCCCAGGTTTAATCCATCTCTTGTCATTTTTCTGTGCATAAACCGTCACTCAGAAAAACTGAAATGTTTAAAGTTGCTTTTGAACTCTTATTTTATATGTATTTGAACAGTGTGTCTGATGACGAGTTAGGTTTTTTTTTTTAATTCTTTATTTTGTCTTTTAGAACTTTAGATATCTAACAGCGATTAGTGTAATCTATATACTTTGAATTCTTTTTTTTTACTAATACATTTATATAGCTCGGCGATCACTTTTCATAAGGGGTTATAGACCCCTTTGTGTAGCATCTACATGGGTTATAATTTTATTTCTTGTTTTTCGTTAAATATTATTGTGATATATTGTAATAAATGGCAAATTGCTTTTTACTTCAGCTCGTTTATTCTTCTCGGATTTGTCTTACTTGGTGATCGATGAAGCCGACACCATGTTTGACGGCCATTTCAGACGGGACACTATGGACCTTCTTCAATCGATCTCTGTAAGTAGAACTACATTACTTGCAAAAAACAAATCCGGACGATTGAAATTTCGGACAAAAAAGTGTCACCGTCCGAAAATAACACATTGAAAATAACACCGTCCGGAATTTTTAAGCGTCCGAAATATTTACAGTACAGTATAAAACTTTTAAGTAGCTCTAAAACTAATACTCGAGTCTTTGTTTCCTTTATGTTGCGAACTCTAGTTGAGACACTCCCTGAGGTACGTAAAGGCTTGATAGAATTTTTCTTATTTTCCCGTCGGTGTATCATTAAAACCTTGAGGGTGCAGTAAAACTATCATTTTCACAGATGTTGTTTCAGTCTAAAACGTGTTTTGTAGGCGTAAATTTACATTAGCTGTGTTTCAGAAGTGTCCGAAATTTTTTCCGAGATTTGTCCGAAATGAGATAAAAATTAAGTCCGAAAATTAAGCGTCCGAGATTTTTTGCAAGTAATGTCGATCCGTGACCCATGCCATTTACCCGCGAACCACGCCGTCTACCCGGGACCTGCACTATCCACCCGCGACCCGCGAAGATTTGATACTCCCGTTTTGAGTACCCAGTTTAAAAAGGGGTTTACTAACCTCTTCTGTAGCATATTAGCTTGGTACAATATAAAGGCGCTTTTTGGACTACTTTTTGTACGGTTAAAAGAGCCCTGGACTCTACTGTTGTTACTGTTGCACTGGTTTGAAAGTCAAGTGTTTCAGGGGCGGATCTAGGAGAAGGTGCAGGGGGTGCGCACCCCCCCCCCCCAACCCCCTGAGATGACATGCGGCTTTATAAAGTTTGTTTACCTCACCAGTCAGTTACGCTTTTCATTAGTGGTGCACCCCCTCCTAAGAAAACCCCTGGATACGACACTGTGTTTGGTGTCGGTCGGTTGTAATTTGACTTTTCTTTCAGATACGAGAAGAAAAACCACCGCCTCTGGGAGAAATGCCAAAAGANTTCTGTATTCATTGTATTCTGTATTCACTGTGTTCATTGATTGCACTGTATTTTCTATGGTACTTGTCACTTGTATTTTCTCGGTATACACACTCGTCTAAAGGCTCGTGTCTATACCGAGAAAATACAAGTGACTTGTGGGTTATTCCACGGTATACCACGATAGAACGTTGCATAACTAATATGTATAGTGCCATGCGGAATGCACTTTGTTTGTGTGTTTATTTGTTTGATTGTTTATTTATCTATTTATTGATTTTCTTATTAGTTGTTTCATTGCTAACAGTTTGCGAGTGTCATTTTTTCAGTCTTATTTATCATCTCTGCAAATATGAAGTTGCTCCATCCGTTTATCATTGAATGTCGAGTTATATCTTTTTCCTCTGTGTTGTAGGTTAGAGGCGAACTATTCGACGCGTTTCAAGAAGGAAAAACCAAAATTCTCGTGTGTACAGATGTGGCGTCGAGAGGTGTGGATCCTGATGTGAGTATGAACGAAAATAGAACTCACCCTCCCTCCCTCCTTTACAAGGGAATGGAGACCTTTACTTTGAACAAGGAGGGGAGAGCGCACGCGTGTGTGAACCAGTGTCATTTGGCGCGAAAAACGCAAGCGCCATCACTCTACTGCGACTCCATGAAAACGATGTTGATTGTGCAAACAAGAAAAAAAATTGAAAGGCAGGTAAGCTCTCATATTACTTGCAACACTTTCGGACGATTTTAATTAAGTGTCAGAAAATGACACCATCCGAAATATTTGTGTAACTAAGCACACAATTGTAAAATAGCCTATTGGGTGAACTGCTTAAGATAACTAAAAAGCTAATCGAGCTGAGACGATCTTTCCTCTAGACATGTGAAGGTGGAAACACTTGAAGGCGTCATATTCACTCGAACTTGAATGTGTTTTCACAGGTGACCCATGTGATCAACTTTGACTTTCCCACGTCAATCGTAGACTATATTCACCGTGTGGGCAGGACTGGCCGCGTGAAGACTGAGGCGACTCGGAAAGGTGTCTCAGTTGCAACAAGTTTGCTCACCCATAACAGGGATGTCAGAATGGCGAAAACAATTGAGGTTGGATAGTTGTGTTACTTATTTCAGATTTTAATTAACGTAATAGGAGAATCTTTGTTTACAATATTTGCGTCATTAGCATAAGCGATACAGTTTCTGACGGAGATACAAAACGTTAGTTCTGACTAATTAAAGGGCACAACACGATTAACTGTCCTAAGGAATTTGAAGCCGATGTATTGAATACTTTTTGTGCGACGCGGGTTTAAAAACTCAAAATTTTACAAATAATGTATGAGCTGATTAGCGCTTTTGTCACCCAGAAATTTTTCAGTTTTTGAAAGTNGCGAATCGTATCGAAATTATCATTATCATTATCATTATTATTATGGTGCGTGTAATTGAATTGAGCGACCAAATAAAATGAAAAGCGACCATTTCATTTCCTCAGTAGATTCTCGAGATTCTGTTGCGAGACGTTTCCGGAATGTTATTGTCATATGTCAGTGAAAAACGCAGTCTTAAAATTCTTGAATGGGTTATCGATGATCTAACCAGTAAAGTAAATAAAATAACATCATAAATATTCTTGTTCTTCCGCCATTTCAATTTCAGAAGGAAAAGAAAACAAACAGCGGTTACAAACATTACAACTAGACGTCAAGTTAATACAGTTAAGGTTTTTAGACCATCCGCTGCCTACTTGTGATGTTTGTAACCGCTGTTTGTTTTCTTTTCCATCTAAATAAAATAAGTGTGTGATCCAGAAAAAATTCGCATGACGGATAAAGACGGATAAAAACGGATAAAAACTGGGCTTTTTTCAAAAAGCGGTTCTCTTTTACCACAAGTGCATTCAAGTTTCCAGCTCTTCTGAACCATTCCGTTTCTTAATTTGTTTTTCTTGAGAACTTGAACGCCAAAGGACAAGTCAAGAGAGAAAAAAATTCAAGGCTTTTGACGATATTAAGAACCTCTCCTGACACTAAAAGATAGCTTCGAATTGTGACTAACCTTGGCGACGTTTGTCTGCCGAAACCTTTCAAAAATACGTTTTTGGTCTAAAATGCCGTTTTGCTTTGGGATGTGCATTTCCTCTTGTTTTTCGAGGGTTGTCGAGTGACAAAAAAAAAAACGATTTAAAAAACACACTTTGGATCGTGAACAAGATGGTGAATTAAGTCTCTCAAACTCTGTGGAATCTAGGGCAGAGAACACAAACAGACATCATGTTTTGCAGGTCAGGTCAGATCTACCATGACTTATCTAGGAGAATTGTAACTCACTCTAGGTGGCATGTTAGTTAATCAGTATACTGCAACTCGGTGAATTGACGTCTGAGTAGGATCAAACCAATTTTAACTTCTTAGACAAATTCAGTTCCACGAGAAGCTATGACCAAGAGAAAACACCGCAAGGCCTCTAATTTTAAATTCCCTCTAGTTTAACCCACAGCAACAGATATATATTTTATTCAAAAATTCTACGACTAAAGGAAGAAAGTCCCCACGCCGAAAATCAGCGTTTGCTCGCATTGCGTGCCTAGGTTCTCAGCATGCATAAAGCTCTATAACGTACCTTACATTGCCACTCACATCCGGGGGAACTTAATTTCGCGAAACTGGAACGGGCATATATTTCGCTGGACTCAAATTTTGCGATTTGGGCAGAAAAATACGTCAAAAGGGACTAACTTTCGCGAAAATTGTCACATCACTGACAGTTAGTCTCAAAACTGGCTCAACTGATTTTAATTTTCCATATAGCAATAGTTTCCGATGACACTGAACAAAATTATATAACAAAACGAAATTGAAAACAGTTTAGCATGTTCCTTTGCAACAAAGCAGAGCTATACAGAGTACGTGACACCGTCCGTATTTGCTCTTGCGGCTGAAGGACCACCTAAGTTTCCTCAAATGGACCAGTGGGGAGGGGGCGGGGGAAGAGCTGACTCCCCCTTCATCAGCAACAAGGCATTAAATTTTCGCGAAAACCTTTTTTTCGCGGGTCTTTAAGTTCGCAATTTTCAAAAACTTCCGAAGTCTCGCGAAAATAAGCAACAATAAGGCAAGCCCCGGCAAGACCTGGGGTCGAGACGCGGCGTTGACAAGAGTCCCTGAGTTTAGAAAAATTATCCCAAGTTTAAAATTGGACAACGGCAAGCTTCCCGATGATCGCAGAATTGTGAAGACAAGTTTCAAGAAAAGTCGTTTATTTTTGTACATAGGTAATTATTTACATTTGCTTCAAAAGCACTACGATGCAAATTTGTATTTTATATCATCCAAGACAACTCTAACAAGATCTATCAGCAATTAATGCAAATGTAGCGAAGACTTCGCTGTAGTTGACATTTGGAAAGATGGGTAAAATGGCGCGACAGATTACAGCATGAAAAATCTTGACATAGACTAATTTACCGAAGACTCTACGGATCAAATCTGAGGGATTCACATGTACTGTGACATATGTAATTCAGGCAACATATACGTATATAAAAAAATTATTAAAATAAGTAATACGACTATACACTTCTTACAATACCTGTATTGCACATCCGGGATCCCTCTGATTTGGTCAGCAAAATCTTTTGTCACGTGCCTTAAGTCGACAAATACCGAATATGTCAAAACTCAAATGCAGCTGCCTAACTCAAATCGCGGGTGTGACAGTGAAATCTACTATCTAAGAAAATAACTTCTATCGCCTGTTAAAACCAGTGATATCTTTAGCTATATTATAACTTAATCTGATCTGTTGCTATTAAAATTTGAGCAAATCCATTAACTTTGAATTGGACCGTAATGAAAACTTATAGTACTGAATCAAAGTCTTCGTTTTCTACACAACACCCTTCTATCCATTAACATTTGCTCAAATTGAATAGAGCAGTTTTTAATCGAGTCTCGTAAAACCAGAAGCAAAGTTATCACTCTAGCTAATCCATTCCCTGTTAGCAGACGCTCTTTTCCTGGTGTTCGCTGACGGGAGAACACCAGGAAAAGAGCCTCTGCTAGCAGGGAAGCCAATCCAGTGAACCAATCAAAACTCGAAGTAAATAAACGTAGCTGACGAGAAGCGCGGGAAAACGCGTGCGAACGAGTCATGATTGGTTTGATTGGTGAAAATTGGCGCGAGTTCTTTCAGCCAATCGTGTGGCGTGCTGTAATGCAAGACCTATTACTTTTCCGGCGGCACTCCAGTGAAAACTGCTCTAATTACTATAATAATATTTAATATTCAATTCCATACATGTTGAATATCCTTTCAAAATACTTCATACAATAAAATTCTCTGCTGTTGCCACTATCTTTCTCCGATAATTTTCTATTTATCCTTCTCACAGGTTAACACATTACAATCCTGGGCCGAGTTGTTCAAAGCCCGATTAAGCTAACCCAGGATTAGAGAACATTTTGATTTCAGTTTTGTAACTTTTCGGTGAGGTTTTCAGCCTATATCGTTTGTCCTCCAGTTTTGAGTCTAAATAATCTCAAACTACACAAACCTAAACATTGAAAAACATTTTTATACAGAAAAAAATACTTCAGATAACTTTTACCCCTGGGTTAGCGTTAACCGGCTTTCAAACAACTCAACCCAGCTGAGGGTTATCTCAGGAATGTAATCTCGATTTTTTTCCGTGTTCCCTTACCGGAACAAGGGAACACTCGATTTTTCTCCCTGGTCCTTTACTACGCAAACGATAGACAAACTGGATTGAAATGTTTTCTCGTGTAGTAAGGGTTGTGTTCATGAAATAATAGAGAGGTTAAGCATGACGTTAACGGCAGACGGCAGACGGCGGACGGCAAACGGCGATGATAACTTCTGACTTTGAGTTCTTTTCTTATAATCCGTAAATAAAGCACACAAAAATAGCATAACGCCTCCTACTATTCACTGCAAATACAAATAATTTCACTCTACTGTACACACAGCTGAAGAGAGACGGCAAAAGTTTCATTTTTGCCGTTTGCCGTTTGCTGTAAACGTCATGCTTAACCTCTCTATTACATGAGAAATAATAATATTTGGAAAGTATGGCCGCCTGTATATCATCTAATTAAGGGAGCACTCTCACCCATGAATCAATGAACATTGTTTCCTACTTGATAAATTAATTTCTTTCAATAGTATCATTACTTCTATGAAAATATGGACCACGATCTGTATGGTACTAAACGTATTTCAAAGAAATCCCAGACAAGCGTGATAAAGACTGATTCTTCAACTTTGTCCACATTCTTTTTGTGAACGTTTTGGATAAAAAGTAGTATATATTCTTTTCTAGAATTCAAGCATTCGAGCCTAAAAAAATGTCTAAATTATTACACTGTACTTAACAACAATAGAAACAAATCTCTCCTCTAGTGCTCATTCTATTGTACTGTCTGAGAGATTGAGAACAAAAAATGATTCAAACTTGAAGATGACTCAAGGTACTGTATGAATGATAAACAAATGATCATGTACTGCATTCTTGCCCCTGTAAATTTTGCCTACGTTATGAACATGTCTCTCTGTGTAAACTACACATTTTCATAAGCCAATCTTGTTACTGGGACATCAATTTTGCCCTCGCAACTTATCACACGACATCGCACTGGTTTGAATTGATCAAGCAGCAATTTCCTGGAGCATTGGGTACTCAAACTAAAGGTCAGCACATCAAAAGGAAACTGGTCTTTGTGACTTGTCCCCATGTGTTCCGCTGTAACACTACTAAAGAATCCTGCAGGGACTAATCCCAAGGGCAAGCTGCCAACTTTTACATGTTGGTATAATTTGCATTAGTAACTGGACCGAGTGGAGTACAATTCAGGCTGTAATCGCGCGAGTAATTTCAAAATCGGACGAGCGCGAAGCGTAAGACCGATTTGAAACTACGAGCACGATTACTCCAGGAGGTCCAATTACTAACTAATCGTATCTATAACAAATTTTGGAATAAAATTGTCTTATGAGAACTTCTTTTGCGCGAAAACGTCTGTAGAACTTTTCATAAGGTTTGAAAACTGTAGGAAATAAAGTTTTGGAACATTGCGAAGGAAGCCATTAATTGACGTGCGAATCACGTGGGTATCCAATTACAAAAAGTTCCAATTGGATACGTGTAACTCCCATGTGACACCCATGTGATCGGGCGCCGATTGCGTGACAAATAGGCGCGCGGAGTACCAATCACGATCGAGGATTTTGTTATAGATACAATTATGGACGTAAATGATGGCCAGTCAAAGAAAACAAGCTAATCCCTGTTGGTGTAGCGTGAAAACAAGCTCTCTTGACAGCTCTTGGAAGAGAACTTGCTTAGAGGCTCAGTGATCTCAATTCATCAGTATGTGCGCTTTAACTTTAGTATCTACTGGTATTAATCTAGAATAGTTTTGAAGTCTATGTCACAGGAATGGAAATAATCATGCGATAACAGACGAATATTAAATTCATTTAGACTGGTAGATTTTTCTTGTCATTCTCACCTCCATCATCCTTATTGTAAAACACTTCTTTATTATATATGACAACGCCGCCTTCTTTGTCAGGAATCTGACTTCCAGTTTCTGATTCAGCAAAGCCTTCATGATCATGTTTGAAAGCAGGATTCTTGCTGCCATATTGATGATCTGGTGTAACTTTTCTTGGCTCATATTGGCACCCCTTCTTTTTTCTACAAGAAAATAAGCCATCATGATGAATATTCGAGTATCATATGTGATCTGACAAACAAAAAGGGAATTTTATTGCAAATTTATGAACAAAACCGACTTTTATCTTGTGCCCTAGCAGAAACATAACTACATTTTTTCTGGTTGCAAATTTGGAGTTTACATGCAGTAAGATCAAGTGACAATGTTATTCAAAGTATTTTTGCCATATGGCCACCCTCTTCCCCACTAGTTTTTTGTAAGGTCGCCTTACATGTAAGTTCTTCACCCTGCTCCCTAACTAACGAAATGCTTGGACAAGACTGCACTGAATTTGCATTGAATATGTTGGGAGCTATTAATACAGCACATGGTACATGAAGAAAGGCACTGTGAGAGTACACAACACAACACAATTATGCCGCGGCTCTAACTCAGAACAATACCCCTGCCATCCAGTGCTAAACATCAGGCCCTGGTTGTTTGAAGGCTGGATAATGCTATCCACCAGATAAATTGCTATCCAGGGGATAAGTGTTAAAAAAACAAAGTGCACTATCCACTGGATAGTGATTTATCCTGTGGATAGCATTATCCACCTTTCAAACAACCCAGGCCAAACCTCCCTGACCATCCTACAGTAAAAGTTCGCTCAGTGATTTTCAGGATGGTATTCAATTCTCTTCAAATACTTACCCGAAAAAAAAGATATACCAAATCATGGCGATGACAATTGCAACACTGAGGACCATGAATATGCATGCTGTAACCATCCAAACTGCTGCAAGAGAAAAGTTGAAAAAGGAAAATAGGTTAGCTTCATATTAAATTGAATTTCACAGAAGCATGGCCTCTCGACCCAAGGGATTTGAAATGAAAGTTCTCCACACCCTTGCCAGCAGTGTGAAATCCTGAACTGCTCAAAAGTAAGGGGTTAAGAGAAGTGTCTGAAGCGAAGAAGGGACTTCTCCAGATTGGAGGGGAGGGAGAGTTATTTTCCCTTTGGAGCCCCCCTCCCACTTCCCCTCAACATCCACTTTTGGCACATTATTTTTCCATAATTTAGTCTAGTATTATTATTCATCGGTTGTACTTTTCTTCTAAGGGCCACACAAGGCCCACACTGTCAGTTCTAATGACTATTTAGAGTACAGTCAAACCTGTATATAATGGCCCTGTATATAGCGGTCACCCTGTATATTACAGTCACCAAACGACTTCATGAATTAAAATCACGCCCTTCTATCTACCGTTAAGTTGATGTGTATATAGCCGTCACCCTGTATAAAATGGTTACCCAGTGATTTCCCGAGGGTGACCATTATATACAGGTTTGACTGTATTCCTAGTTCCATTTGGTGGGAAATTAGTCCAGAACAGGTTATCCACATGCCCTGACAGTTCACAAGTGACCATTCTATGCCACTAGGAGGTGAGAGGGACTATATATGGGGATATATGTTAAGTAAAACCTCTTTATCTGGAGTCCACCACCCAGAACCATTAAAGCCACTTTACCTAAATTTGGAAACTTATTGAAAATTATGTAATATTTTTAATTGTCTTTTGAATTCCTTAAATGCAGAACACCTTGATTTCAAGGGCAGTATGAAAGCGAGTTGCACAATCCATGCCCCATCAGGAATGATTCAGAAGATACCGGTAATGTTTTGTTACACTAGAGGTATAATTAAATATTATGTACAAAGAGGCATAGTTAACAACAAATCAACCCTGAACTACTTTGTATGCTATCCACTTTTGAAATATTAAGAATGCTTACTTTCACTGTCTCCATTTGAATCACCCTTCTGAGCCCTCAGTTTTCCTTCTCTTACTGTTGTTTCTAATGTTGTTTCATGAGGTTCCTTTGTTGCTATTGCCGAATTTGTAGAAGTTGTCGCCACTGTTGTGGGTGTGGGTATCTGGGTTGCGGTTGTCTCAAAGGGTGTAGATGACATTGTAACATGTGGAGTGGAGGGTGTGGGTGTGGGTGTGGACAAGGATGAGCTTGAGGAAGTGTCACCTGGGCATGATGAGCTTGAGGAAGTGTCACCTGGGCATGTCAGTTCACCAACACCATTTTTGCACATTTCATCTACAGCCAAACCAAACATATGAAAGTAAGTAAATTAGACTGAATTACAGATTTACAGTATGTAAGATGAACTGCACTTCATTTTGTACTTGAAATTATTTTAATTTCATTTTAAGTGAACAGCCATTGCTAATTATTTTGTATTGTGTGTGTTTGCATGCTTGTATAGGTGTCCCATTTCCTCCACATTTTTCCATGTTTTTATTTACTTTACTAGTCAGGGCCCACTTGCCTGACTAGTAAGTGGCTGTAGTCAGCTCTCATATATCTGCCAATATCAAACCTGGGTCTGTTTCAATTTATTTTTCTTACACAGCTGTAGGTAAATCTACATGTAACAGCACAAATAAAGATTGATTGTTTTTGTTGTTGTTGCTTAAAGTAACACCTTGGAAGAATATTGAACCTGATGTCTTCCATGAAGCATGGATTTTACAAACCAAGGAAAGATCATTACAAGCTTGATAATCTTGAACTCCTTTGAATCTATCAATCTTCAATCAATCTTTTAGTTTCATTCCTCAATTTACATTTATTCAGTTAGACTGGCCCACGGGCTACAGTGTAGTATAGGCTACATGTAGGCGGGCTAGTCTATTAAGATCTAATAACAAAATTTTAACGTTTTTATTAATAATTAAAATAGATCACTGTAGAAAATTGGGAAAAAGTAAATAAATTAGAAAGATGGTCGAAAAGAATGAAAAATAGAAGAGAGGGGTTATCAGATTAATTACTAGGTATATAGTATACTGTACATCTATCATAACTACTTATTAACCTATAGTGAGGTTTTTAAGGGAAAATCTCAAACCGAGACTGTGTGTAATGACCAAGGGATAGGGAGGTCAATATGGCAAGGATGAGGTTTGAGATTTTCCCTCAAAGATTGAATGTTTCCAGTTAACAAATTGTTTATTATATGGCTATTTGCTTTGTCTATACAGGCCCATAATCGGCCTGTGGGCATTACAGGAGAATAATGCCCTAGAGTTCGCCAATCAGAATGCGCATTATATAGACTACAAACACAAGCCATATAATAATTCAATTTCATTCTTTTTTTTTCCATATAAACTCCCATGCATGCACACCATTACCACACTTGCATTCTGCATTGAAAACCTAATGTTTTTTTAAAGAGACTTGACTTTACATGTAGACGTACAAAATCAATATTCTGCTGTACAACTGGCACTGGATTTTGTGCCTGAGTGCTTCACTTCATCAGCTGCACTGCAGATGATTTCTCCCAGCCCCACTCCTTGCAATGTGAACTCTCACATATAACATATCTTACTAGTGGCATGCATGTGTATATACACTGGCTATATGGTATTTGCATGTATCAGGGCTCAAAAAAAGGGCAGTCCAGTTGCCTGGGACAAGTAGATTTCCCTTCTGGGCAAGTACCTTTTCATTCTCACTTGCCTGATGGGCAAGGGCTCAGGCAAGTCTCTGCCAACTAAATCATTAAAAGAGCAAACTACGACTTGCCCAGGGCAAGCAAAATTTAAGAGCTACTCATCCAAAGCCAAGCTGGAATTCAAGTTTTTTGAACCGTGTATCCTTGAGAATTACTGGTTGATACACATGCTCTTACCTTCAACCTGGTCTGTTTCATTGCAAACATAAACTTCAATTTTCATGGAAACGTTTTTGCCAGTGTCATTACAGTGGCCTCCACTTGTGGCATTAATGTTCGAAGATTTTCCATCAGAAGTTGCTGAAACAACAATATAAAATGCTGCGTCAGTAAGGGAGTCAAGAAAATATGTTTTAAAACTCTATGAGCCCCAGACCATTTTTGAATTAAACTTAGTAATTTATCAGACAATACAATTTTGTAGATATTCTGTAGGAACCAGTATTAGAATGCGGGATTCACTGGCAGCTGTATGATATAAGACATCCTGTATTAAATTTGCCAATGTTTTGACCTAATTTTCAGAGCATTTCCCACACCTTTTTGAAACCATATACACATACAGTTGAACCCCCAGTATGCGACCACTCAAAAAGTCAAGCTTAGGTGGCTGTTTAGGGGAGGTGGTCACTTATGAGAGCTTAGACCATAATTATTGTCAAAATTTTGCCTCATTAGCATATGGTATACATTTTTCTTTCAATTCTCAAAGTTTTACTCATGCAAAAAGTCAATTTCAAGAAAAAAAATCCAGCTCTTCCCATTGAGAAATTTCCTTCTCTTGTACATGTAGCACCTAGGAATGCGATAATGTTACAACACCGTATTGACCAATTTTCACTTCATTGTCTGTCAAGTGGTCGCTTATGGGAGGTTAAAAACAAAAGAAAATTTCAAAATTTTAACTCTAAAAGTGACTGCAGTCACTTACAAGAGGATGTCGCTTACAAGAGGTTCCAAATATAGTGATTTGACTGGGAAACTTTTGGTAGTTTGGAGAACTGGTCACTTACGAGAGGTGGTTGCAACCAGAGGTTCCACTGTAATTCATTTTCTCAGGGGTGTCATTAAGAGCCAGACACTGGCCAATATGGATGATTTTGCCAGCCTGGCTTGACCATCTAGAGAAAAGTTCTCCTTATAATGAAGTTCAAAAAGTTTTGCTCGCCCGCGAAAACCAGCTACCCCCCTACTGAAAATGTTAATGAAACCCCTTTTTGTATTTACGACGGGCAAAATTTCCTCTGAAAAGATATTTAAGACAGATTCCACTCAAAGTTCGAGCAATAACTGCAAAAATTATGTACTAAAAATCTACTCAAGACATAGCACGGTAACGTTTGAAATAGTTTTTAAAACATCTCACTTTAGTTCATTTCTCTAAGTGACCCCGCGATTAAATTCTCAAGCGTTCTCGAGAAAGTTAATGTCAAACCTCGTAAGAATGCTTAATCCATGTCTTACTAAGTTTTCAACTGAGGCAAAATGTATGTTTTAACTGAAATATGGATAACCTCAAGTTCAATTTTCTCTCACTGGGTCAGCTTGAGAGCTTAAGTCACGGTGCACTCCTCTTAACTGTGTTCAAAATATAATTATTCACTTGACTCTGAAGATGACTTCGGCTCACGTTATCAAAGCATCAGTCACCAACTACAGTTCTTTTCAGAACTACCCTCACCTGGACGATCACACTATATGAACTGTGTTCAAAATATTACCATGGCATGAGGTTTATTTGGTAACTTAATTTTTGCCATTATTGCTCAAATGCTCTGTGGAATCATCTAATTTTCAATTTTAATACCTAGTTTATAATTAACTACTTAATTGTTTTGTTGTCACTCACCGATAATGTAATAGGAATGTCCTTTTTTGAATTCAGGCTCGCCTGGTGTGGCTGCAAAGCGCTGAAATGTAATAGAATGAAATTGCAGCTGTGTTGGCTCGTTGCAACGGAGGGCAGGCTGAGTAACGTTTTCATCTAGCGTTGTGTCGCATTTATCAAAGCTGTCTTTGTTGTACAATAGCCAGAGGTTTTCAAACTTGTTTGTTTTTGAAACTTCTTCTGAAGTTGTCCGCAGGACAGTGGCAACATTTGGACAAATAAATTGTATTTTTGATGCAGAACGGATTTTCAGATGCTTGTACTTGTAGGGGCAGTCGGAATTTCCAACAATAAATCTATAAAGAGAAGAAAGCCATGGAAAGTACAAAAATGAATTTATTAGCAAATTGAATAAGCTACTTTTCAGTTGTCTGGTGAATGTTTTCATAATTTTGTTCTTTAAAAAGCTTGTTTAACACTTGATAGTAACTGGCATAAAGTAATGACATCAAAATGACAAGTTACACATGTTTTAATAGGTAGTTTAATGCCTTTAATCAAAGAGAGATCTGTGGCCATGGCAATCAAAAAAGACTGGAAAATTAACATAATCAGATACCTGTAGATTAGGTATCTGTACCTGTATGTACAGTTGAACCCCACTAATTGAAACTCGGTAATTTCAAATTCCCTGTTATTTCAAACTCAGACCAATTTCCCCTAGTCAATAAAAAATGCATTCCATCATGACGATTGTACACATTTATTAGCTATAGTTTTTTGTTACTTTCATATTTTAATGTTAACCCAGTTATTTTGAGCCCTGCTATTTGGAACTACATTTATCAGAATTCCAAATAGCAGGGTTCAACTGTCACATTGCATGTGCATTCAAAATTTACATCTAGAAATTTATATTAAACACACCTGATAGAATTATTAGAAGGCATGGCAAAAGATAAATTAAGATAATTTTAATATTAAAATAATATTAAAAATTACATTGCAGAAAAGAGAACAATTATGATATGTCCCATGTGTTCAAAACAATTTACCAATGCCTGTTCACATGATCAATATAATTCTGTGGTTCTAAATGAACTTTGAGTTCATATCAAGAACATGTAGAACACTCTTTTTCAGTTTCACAAACACCTAAGAATGTAGTTTAGGACCTTCATGAATTCGAAAACTTACAAAATACATTTTGACAAAAACTACATCGTACCTACAGCCATAATATGAAATAAACAGTAGGAGCTAAAAATCACTTTGTGTGATATGAGCCATCTGTATAATGAATTGTATTGTTATTAAATTATAATTATCTGGAAATTGCTAAAATTAATCTTATATAGGAGTTAACAAAAAGGGAAAATATTAGGAGACATTGTTCCTTCCAAGATGCACATAAAATTGTCACAAAAAAAATTCATCCACACTGGGAATTTGATATTAAAGACTTCCTTGAGGTTTGCCTGCCTCCATCTCAGTTTAGATCACCTGACTAGCACATTTTGTTTTCTTTTCCTTGTCGCATCGGACGAAGGTAAACACTTGTAACTCTGAACCTATATCACAAATGGCAATTTCCTTTATTTCGGTTGCACCACAGGTAACAAATATTCAAGTGCTTCACTGGGAAAACGTCTTTTTCAATGCATGCAAGTGCACCCAAAAAGCCAAGGTCACCAAAACACTTCAAAATACATTGAAAGGTCTTCATCATTATCACGTTTGAAGGATGTTTAAAGTGATATTTTTATCATCAGTCTATAAATTAAAATTTTATTCTATTTCTGACATTCAAGTGGCTGAAAAAGTCCTTGCACCAAGATCTTTCTTTCCAATATTGATAACCAAAAGACACTGTGGATCAGGAACTTGATGGTGAGCTTCTTGCTTGCCATAAATGCTAGCTGGAAGTTTGGAGTGCCAGAGAAAGCAAACATGACCCTTCCAAAATTTGTGAGAAGTTATTTTTGGGATATTTTAGTGGACATGTCAGGTACAAAATAAAGAAGCTGAGATCATGATATGAATTCTCGTTTGTCTAGAACTATAATGTACATTGTACACATAAATATACTGTTAACAATATAGACTGAGATGTCTGTATAATGAAGGCACCCAAAAGGAGAGATTCCACCCAACACATTTACATGTACTTCCTGTTTACAGGGTTCGTACCCTTTTTCAGAAACAAATTTCCAGGACTTTTCCAGGACTTTTCCAGGACTCAGATTGATTTTTCCATGACTTTAAAATTCACATTAACCCTTTCACTCCCAAGATCTTAATGTTAATTCTCCTTACTGTCTGCCATACATTTCATATTTTTNATCCTGAATGAGTCTATAACAAGGAAAATACGACAACTGCAAACGCAAAGATTAGAACAAAACAATAAGAAGCAAGCTTAACACGATGGAATGAAAGCGATGATAAATTTTCAGAATAAAGAATATTAATAACACCTCATCGACGCCATATGGACTAAAAAATCGAGGTTACACAATACTGTACCGTCTACAAAATGATCGCCTTTCAGCTTATCACAGCTTTAAGCCAACCAACATACAAACACACACGCAAGAAAAATCTTACTTACGACGGATTCTCGGGATCCCACATGATAGACTTGTAGGTTTCGCTAGCAGGAATGCAGTTCAAGTTAATGAAGAAGACAAGAATACAGAAAAGATGCTTCGAAATCATGACGAAGTCGTGTATATTGCCGCTTGTTGCCGTCAGTTCATATCATGGCTCCACTCGATTCTGCTCACGAAATTTTCACACGATATCTTTGCTCTTTGAATCAAAGCAGGAATGAATAGGGCGATGGCAACCAAAGTATGCTATCGATTGTTTACCTTCAGGAATAAGCACCCGGAAACATTCTAGGTTCTCAAATGCTTTAAGACTTCGCAGAGGCTCTATTTCGCTCGAGGGCACTTTCGGTCCCAGGGATGAGCTCCGCCTTCACGCCGGCGGCAAATTATTAAATCGCCATGACAACGTCGCGCAAACTTCGAAAGACTTCTCGAAAGTACTTCCCGAGCTGTTTAGAAACCGGCTGAGAATTGTCAAAAATATTTGTGACCGATTTTAAAGCGAAATTTCTTGAAACGTAAAGGATTCTGTAGTGCGTGCAAAGTGAGTGTAAATGGAGACAAGTCGTGTTATATTTGTTATGGGGGAAGGCCTAGCTGATTATAAAAGTGAACTGACGATCTTGTCACCTTTTCCATGTAGCAGATGTGTTTTTTATTTTTATTTCTTTTTCCTTCAAATTAATATATTAAATGACACGACATTCTGATAACTCGGAAACCTGTGAAAACCTTCTCTCCCTCTTGGTCCCGAAAGCTTACAACTCTGGAGTGAGTTTGTAAGGTCCTGCTAAGCCAATTACTCATCACTCAACTATGTCATTTATCCTCCATAAACACCCACTCTCACTTACGCAGTGCTATAGTATACAAGTGAAGACAAGCTCTCTCTTTCCTCAACGCAGACATCCGCAATGTGAACCCTCGCATAAGTAAAAATTCGGGATATGTATTCTGTGGATAATATACTGTCTGAGCTTCCAGCTGTCGGCTTTATTTATCGCCGAAAAAAATGAAAACTCTCAACCGAGTAAATTTTTTCAAAACTGTTAGGTTAAAACAAAATCAGGAACAATATGTGAAATAATACATAGGTGTCGGTAAAGTAGCTATATTTGGAGGATAATTGAGCATTAATTTTGAAATGAGGAAGGAGTCGCCTCGCTGACGTACTTGACAATTCACAGATTCGCAGTCTTCTGCCACGCCGAATTATAAAATACGAAGAAAGAATACAAGGCTGATCCATTTCTGTTTCTCTGTTTACTTTAATGCATTACATTCCTTGCCATGAAAAATTTAAGTTCAGTCGAGGTTTTCAAATTGCTAGACGCTTCCTTTGTCGCCAAGGCGGAAACGACTAACAGGCAGAGACACACATAAACAAACCACGACTAGCGGCAGCAATATCGGTACGTCATGGGTAAATACAATTTACAACACGGGTAGAATAAGGAGAACTCGTTGCAAAAACTGAAGCACTACTGATTTAGTTCATGACGGACGATGGAGCACGGCTAAACAGACACAATCAAAGGCATTTAGTGCAATGCCAAATGCCTTCGGACACCACCAAGGAAAGGAAACTTTTAGCTTCCTTTAGCACAGTGAACGTTAATATTCAACAAGAGAGAGGACCCTGGGAACGAAGTTGGTGAACATGATGATGTAATTGTTCGCTCCAGCGAAACCCTGAATACGGTCACCTCGTTATTACGGGTACTTTATTCTGACCCAAACTAAAGCTCAGTCAGTCATTTTAAGAACCTGTTTAAAATGGCGAGCCCCTTAGTACGGACAGATTTGTAGCCCGTCAGTGTCCGGATTAATGGAACACCACAGTAATTAGCCATATAGAGCAGAATCACGTATACAGTATTGGACCAGCAAACTATTCTAAGTGGCTGATTTACACTGGGTATTGGCCATCGCAGATGTCTTAGTCATGCAGTAGAAAAATAGAAACTTTAACAAATAAAAAACGTCCTTAACGATTTTGCTTTGTTCAACGTGACGCACTTAGGAAGTTACGAGAACACTCAAGCGTCCTTTAAAACACTTCATGATTGTGGCACTCCTCTCGCTTCGTCAATGTTCCGTTACGTGCCTACGTGCTTTATATAACGGATCAAAACAAATGTACACGTACCTACGAAAAAACTCTTGATTTGATGATCGTGCCCATGTAACATGACAGGGATCGGAAAAAACGACAAACGCACTCTAATAAGAGAGGAACCCACATTACTAATTAAAAAAATGTTTTGAGAAAGGTTTTCCTACAAAACCGTATAGTACGAGACAATCTCGAAAGATTTTGTGATGGGTGTAATGGTGGTTTGATCCTTGATTGAAGCTCAACGTGTTTCAGTGTGATAGAAGCCTCGTAGCTCATTCAGTGAAACAACGGTGATCTAATCCGGTTATGAGGTCGTGAGTTAGAATTCCACTCCTAGGTCAAAAGAATCTTTCTTTTCCTCGTTTGGGCGTCTATTTCCTTTCATAGCGCTAACGCTCAAAATCAAATTCCTGGGTTATTTTGTAAGCAGTTCAAAATGCCTTAGAGTTAATTCTGAATCTCTATTGATCATTGACTCTTGGTGAAAGATGTATGTGTGTGTGTGTAATGTATACGTAATTAGCCACTCCCCATCGGGGCCTTTCAGGACCAATGTAAACAAACAATGATGAATAAATATTCAAATAAACATAACTAGGTTAAGAATCTCAACTGGCGGGAGGCAGACCAGTTGGCTATTTACAAGTGTAGTCGAGAAGTTGAACTCTGGGCTACCGAGAACAACATCACTAGCGGTCAGAACGGGATTTGAACCCGGGACCTACGGATTTCAAATCCGGCGCTCTAACCGCACTCGGCCACGCTGCCTCCCGTTAAAGAATGCCTATGATCTCTACTTCTCGCTGCTCCTAATCACGAAACGTCTGGGGTCAGTGAATAGACAGTGAATGGTTTGGCGCACTATTGTGGAAGTTTTTTCCTCAGAGAAGGGGGGACTCATGAAAAATCTGTGATGCTGGTCGTCTAGCTGAGGGGTGTAAATCACGGACTTTGGTCTTTACTTAGGGTGTTCAGGACGAAATACCATTCGTTTAGCCATCAAGGTATCTTTTAGGGTGCCGCCAGATGAAATAATAAATAAACGCTGTCATGTCAGTTTTAAACTAGTCTCTTTTATGGGTCAAATAAAGCTCGAGCCACGCGGATTGGTCTCGTTTAGGGGTTTAATTCAACTTTTCCGAGGAGTATCCGCGGCCTTTTCTCGCGGGAGTGCCTCCAGGTTCTTTTCTTCTCTTTAACTCGCAGAAAACACCCGCGCCGTAATCATACCGAGGGCGAAGGAAGAACAATTGCACAAATCGATAATATAACAAAGAACAGTAATTCAAAAGACTTATAATACGTTTATTAGTACTAGAAACATACAGTATTTCGATATTTTCCCTACAAAATTCAAAATGCATTTTTCTGACATTTTGATAATAACGATAAAATTACGTTTACTGTGTTTTATAGTTTTGAATTTCACCGTTAAAAACGAGGGGCATTGGAAATGTCAATTCATTGATTCGGTTTTTGAACCAATGACATGAAATTCTGGACTACCCCAACTGTGATCCTAATCTAATTGGCAAATATCATCTCGTTAGAATATCCAAACAGATGAACAAAAATAAATTACTACTTAAATATCAGTAGGTTTTTTTATAACTGAAATCGATATGTTTGGACGTCACTTTGAATTTCAAAAGAATGAAGAAGTGCTGAGCATTTCCGTGTTAAATAAAATAATCACCTTAGAATTAGGAACAGGAAGACTTTCTTTATTCTTGCGGAAAAAAGGAAATATATTTTTCCTTAGTTTATTTTGTTCAGCATGAAGTTGTGCCATCAATAGATGAACATTTTTTTCTTAAATAAATAAAATTCTATAATGTGAGCTGAGACAGCCCGGCATCCCAGATTGTGGCAAAGTGTACGGTCAGTTTATTACTAACAGACTTGTCTTCGCTGAATACCAAGTGATAACCACTTTTCCCCATTGTCTTCTAAAATTATCGTATCTACCTACCAGAAACTCAAATACTCCCCTATTGTCGTGACAATGGAATCGATCGAAACCCATTACGAAGACTGAATATGTGACTGAAATAGGACGATACTTGAGTCCAGCATCTGGTCAGTATATTGTACAAAATATATATGATAATAATCGTATTTGGCTCATTTCTTCTTGTGGCAATAAATTTTGATATCAGCTATTTCTGCTATGTCATACAGGACTCTGTCCGCGTGGTAATTGGCTCGTCCTAAAGTGATATCCTTCATGAAGATTTGGTCAAAAGCCTGTACAGAAAGAGAACCATCAACACAGTTAAGGCTTAATTGAAACACTAAATAAATAAACATACTATAATTGGTGATCTGTGCTATGGCAATGATTCAACGCAAACTAGAATTTCACTTAATGTATTTAGTTCTATCGTTTCACTATGGCAGACGCAATGTCCTTCGACGAAATAAAATGAAACTCTTTCTCCCTTCTATGGTCTATACGAAGACTTTATGTTCGTGTATGTTAATCTCAACCATCTGATTGAAACGATTTTACCATTATATTTCAAATAAAAGGAGAAAGAGACAAGAGAAAAAGGCAGATTTACAGAAAAGTGCATTGTACGTTGCATTAGTGAAGAGAAGATCATTTCTGTAGTTTAAAGGAACCACGTCTCGGTTCGCGCATCTTGAAAAGTTTAGCCTAAATTTTTCAAGTTCGTGGTTTGTAATCCTTGTAATTTTCACCATCCTCAACCATCCTTGTTCCTTTATGATTTATCATTATTTATTTGGTGTTTTTCTGTCATATCAAACTCACGTTTTAAAGTTTCCTTCGATTTAAAGGTAATTTTCTACGAGGCCAAAATAATTCAAAATGCCGTGACTGAACTCCTTTAATATGCGGTAATCTTCGTCAGTGGAGTACTGATTAAACTCCCAACGTGCGTGCCATCAAAATATCAGCTGCCTTAGCCAATATTATAAAGTTGATCGTCTTATGATTGTATTATTGCCTTACATTCCACGCAAATTAATAAAAATTGTCACATTGAAGACACAAAACTCAGCTGACTGACTCATGACTCTATTAGGACTAACCGCTTTGATTCGTCGCACTCTTTGCATGATGGTTATGGCCTTCCCAGCTGCCTTTGCAGGGAGGGATGAACTCTCAAATAACCCATCAAACGCGCGGAATAGATTTCCTAAGAATCGCTCCACTCCCTCTCCGCCCAGAGATGTAATTCTTCCATCCATAGCTTTGACCCAGGCCTTAACGCTGATAGTTTCTTGATGCTTCAGTGCAGTGTCACATTTCTTGCTCCATTTTTGTACACCTAGGAAACAAGTCAACGGTCTCTTCAGTTTATCGGAACAGCAACGTGACCTCTCAAATGGGAGCTACTTCAAGAGCAGTATACTGTCATGTTTTAGTATAAATCTACTAGCGTTCTATCACGAATACCGTTCTCTGATTGGTTTCGCTACTCACTATCTGTTAAACAATTAGATTATGAGCTCGAGATTTCTATCGTGTGTTATTTTCGCCCGAGTCAACTATTACGCGATAGATGTCGAGAGCGAATAATCTAATTGTTTTAGTATAAAATCTACCCGTCGTTCAAAGCTATACCTAAATCCTCTTTACAGACACTTCGAAAACGCAAAGAAACAGACGTCATTTTGTTAACATGGGCACACTGCCACGCTACTCGCTATCTATCACAGAATAGATAATGAGTAGCGTGGCCAATCAGAGAACGGCATTTGTAATAGAACGCTAATAGATTTATATTTATCTGTTTTAGTATAAATCTATTTGCGTTCTATCACGAATGCTCTTCTCTTATTGGCTACGCGTTTATTCACTATCTATTCTCTTTTAGTATAAATCTACAAGCGTTCTACCACGAATGCCGTTCTCTGATGCGCTATGCTACTCACTATCTTTTCTGTTTCAGATAGTGAGTAGCCTAGCAATGTACGGTTGTTAATAAAGTTGTGTTTTCAAAGTGTCTGTGAAGAAGATTTAGATAAAGATTTTAACGACCAATAGATTTATACTGCATCAATTAGATTATTTGCTCTCGGTTTCTATGCTTCATATGGTTGACTTGGGCTGCTTCATTAGCACTTTAATTTACGTCTGTCACAGTAAATTTTACTATGTTCGGTGGAGTTTCAGAACTGGCTAATTTTTAATTTTGAACTCAAAACCCTGGGGTGAAGTGATGTCATGTCATCACTTCGAGTCGAGGTAAATTTTGCAGTCATTACATACTACTGAAGACTAATGTTCGTTATCTTACCATCGCTGACAAAATTAAGACTTCGTTGAATCCTTTCCATTTGGTCTTCAGTGCCAGAAACCTGCTTAGCTATTAAAAAAGAAAGATTCATTATTTAGATGATTTCATGCAGAAATTGGGTCACTTTGTGTAGCCTGTACAATTGACTATAGGGTGGGTGGGGAGGTGAATGGAGGGGAGGGGAGGGGAGGGAGAAAGAACTGAAGAGCTGACTGGGTGCAAATGGTTGATATAACACCAATTCAGTGAGCTGTTTTCTTGACGCAGATAAATTTGATGGATGAGCCAGTAATAACCAGTATAAGTACGCCTGATTTGCCACCAACAAAAATAGCTCTAGTGCGCATTGCATGCCTATGTTTTGTCCACTGTGGGATAGCATGAGTGCTTGATCCATTGATCTTGCTCTAAGGTACGTTTGAGATAAAAATGTTCCGAGCTGTAAATAATTAAATTTAAGATATGGTCTGGGGTTCAACTTGTGTTGTTGTCACGGGCAACTGGCTCCGTTCCAGTGTCAACTTGTCGGCCTTTGACGTCATTGGCAGCAAAGCGCGCGAAATTGCAGGCGACGATATTGTTACCATTGGAAACGAAGAAAGTTGCCCGTGGCAACAACGTAATTTTAAGTCCAAACTTCGTCACCAAAGCTCCGTTGCGCCGTACTCAACTGATAATCGTAGTAGTTTAGCTGCTCGTCGGGTACTTTTTGGTGGTGTTATACGATGTGGAATATATGTGGTATTTGATCTTCCTCATCAATGGTTGCCATTCTCCAGTCTCCGCAGCCATTATTTCTGCCGTGACGCAACGTAGAAGAAACGTCGCACAGCTACCCAAATAACAGCTACCATCAGTGATATAAGACACAGCATACTTTATTATCAAACGTACCTGAGATCTCCAGCTGTTTGTTGACCCGCTTGAGTTTTCTCGTGAAACGGTCCTTCTCCTTGGCGAACAGATATCGCTCATACATGTATGTACCGTACATCTTTTTCACTGTTTTCATCATATCTCGGCAGATATCCAACAGCTGGTGGTAAATCTTGCATTTCCCGGTCTTTGAAGCTGGGAAACAAAAAGGAGTTCAGTTTGGCGTGTAAATATCATTTCACTTGACGACAGAAATCTCCAGGAATTTAAATTTATTTTCAGTGATAGTTTTGTCTAGACTGGCTTGGATTACGCCATACGATCTCAACGCAATACACAAGATTATAGGGTCAAGGAGGGGAAATTGTAATAAAAAGGCCATAATAAACTAAGATGGCGACGACTGAAACCAATTTTTTCCAAGATGCGACTTCCAACTATTATCCTATTATTATTGTAAGTCGGCGCAAGAGAGAGGATTTTTGTATGCGATGTGTGATGTGAAAATGAAATGTTCTTGAAAAACAATAATACAAGTTTTTCTCGAGCGAGCGAATGCATGGTGTATCGGAATGAATGAACGAACGAACAAATAAAAGAATGCATGGATAAATAAATGAATGAATGAATAAATGAATGAATGAACGAACGAATGCATAGATGACTGACTGACCATAGTTGGACTGACCGACCGACCGACCGACCGACCGACCGACCGAACAAACGAACGAACGAACTAACGAACGAACGAACCAGCGAACGAAGGAATGAATGAGTGGTCAAATAAACATCTCACAAACATGAAACAACAAACCTGGTATCTTCCACTTTCTCTTTAAGTTGCCCATGCTGGGGTGACTCGGAGGTGAAGCTTTTTTTACCTCTTTCAAAGGATCGTGCTGTTGAATAAGATCCCAGAAAGGTTCTATATTTTCTCGTTCATCGGCTGTCTCCACTCCTCTCGCCCTCCGTAACAATCCACGACCTCTTAAGAAAGCTGTTAGCCTGCCACCGTCTCCAAGTCCTTCCGGTAAAGAGTTCTTCTCTTCAGTAACAAGGCTTCTTTTTTGTTTGGCACTTCCAATATCCGGGAACAGATAGTTTGCCAGGAAACGTGCCATCCGGGGTACTAGCTCTTTGTTTAGACATGCGTGGAAAGGCAGTGTTTTGATCTCATCTGAGCCCATGATGCTAGCATTCACACTCATGTTAATGCAGCTCGACGCTAAGGAGTCCACGGGGGCCTGGAAACATATACTTTGTATCTTGAGCACATTTTCAAGACCAACATGTTTAATGGATTTTGAAGCTTCAATGCCAATGGTTGAGTCCCGGTCAATTAATGACAGAGCTTTACCGGCGGCATCTAAAACTGCTTTTGTTTTGCCTTTGGAAAATTCTGAGTCAAATACACTCTGGGTGACGTTGTCTACTCGTCGCTTCTGATCCAAGTAGATGTCCTGGAATATCATGAGAAAGTAATTCTGTTAATACCAAAGCAAGCAATATGACAGTAGGCTGTTTATAAGAAATATTGAGTGATATCCTTCATTCGATTCTGTGCCACGTGATGTGTTTTGTCCAATGAGAGCGCGGTTTATCATTTGGTAGCTATAATAGGTGCTTAACCTTTACCCAAGAATCTGGGAAGTTTGGTTGAAATTCAGATTAGTTAGTTATTTTCCGAAAAATCCGCTCGCAAAATGTAGACTACCTCCAGAGGCCTGTCTCATTGTTTGGCCTGTTCGGAATGGAGTTTTGTCAATTTACTTTTCATTTGCTAAACTCGTCAATTTCCAGTCTTTCATCAAGGGATTTCAATTTCGGTTGCTCTGCTGATTTTGGAAAAATCTTTACCGCTTTTTATAGCAACCTGGTTCCTTCCGCAAAATGATAATTACCGAATATGACTTATAGGTATGACAGCATCAACTTACTCTTGCGTCCTCCAGGTTTCCGCTGGCCACTTTCCTAATATGGTCACAACCGTGATTCTTAGCAACACATACGGGATCTCCTGTCTTGTAGCAGCACTTATTCCAAGATGGACATTCAACACAGCTACCAAACACGTCACGTGCACAACATCTGTTCCAATCTGGGCATCCAATGCAGCCTAAATATGAAACAACAATGATATTCAGGGTCAGGTTTTGATATGGTAATGTTGTTATGTTAAATACTTGTTTGTGGTGTGGAAGTCAAAGTTCTAACTGCAGAAAAACACGTTCCAGTGAGTTTTGGTGAACTCAGATCAACAGTACAATCTTTTCCAGTTTCGCATAAATTGAGAAAACAGTCACGCTTGATAACTGCAATGTTTTTCTTTTGCTTGCTGTGCTAACAATATTTCTGGAATTGGCATTATTAAACCCCCAAATAACAGGAAAAATAACTTTTTCTCTCTTTCTTAGCTAAATATTCCCCATCTTTGCCGACATCTACGTTCTAGGAATTTGAAATTTTCCACTGACTAGTTGTTCATGCCAATTCCATGAAGAGAGGAACTTACTCTTTTTGCACTGATCCAATGTACAGCTGCTGTTGTATCGCTGTTCTGCCATCCAAACTTCTCTATTTCTCTTCTCCAGAATTGTCTCCTCTTCAGCCAGTTTCTGTCGATAGAACTCTTCATTTTTGGTGGCCTTGCGGTAGTAATTCTTAGCTTCCTTGAGATTTTCTGTTGCTTGGTGAATGAAACTATCTGCTTCTATGGCGGCAGCCTTAATGAGGGTGTCGACTGCCTTCAGGACTTTGTCGTGGATTCCAGGAAGACATCCATAAGCCTAGGAGAAAATTTTTCAAAAATTATTTGTTTGTCTGATTGATGGCCGAGGAGATTGGTCAATCAGATGTGTTTTCATTTCTACTTTTTATGCGGTAACGTGCGATTCTAAAAACACCAACGTTTAAATTGGACAACGGATCAAGAAGCTAGCACTAAAAACGACGATCCGAGAAGAATGGATCTTACTCTGTTTACGGCTACGGCTCACAGCTCTCGATTCTTTTGTTATTATCTTCATCAAAATATAAACGTCTGGTCCTTTCCCGTTCAGCTTTCCCTGAACACTCATCTTACCTGGAACGAGGTTGAGTCTGAAGTTCCCATGATTTCAGGTGATGAAATATATAAACCTGTTGATGAAATGTCAAAAAGATTTCCCTCCACGGGAAATTCTGTGCCAGTATCAGAAATCTTTATTTCTGTTGGCGATCCTGTACCAAGCACTCTGGCGAACCCAACAAGTTTGGCTTTGACATCGAAAGGAGCAATTTCCACATCGAGTCTTGGACCACTTTTGGATTCTTCTTTGCTCTCTTGAACTACGATAAAGCCGTTAGACAACACAAACGGAGATTTTGTGTTGGAGGTAGTCAGATGAATGTGATCTGAGTCATTCATCTTAATCTCACAGTCAAAGTGTCGATCGAAGATGTGAAGTCTTCCTTTCATAGATAAATTGGTCCTGGTGTGTAAGGCTGGCTCGTACAGTACGTCCAATCCCCCGATAAACGGAGCATAGGCCAGAGGAAAGGGGAGTGTTGCGTTGATTCCCATCGCTTCCACAATGTGGTACATGGTCACTTGGGAAAGTTTGGACTCAACACGGCTAATGTCAGGCTGCATGGCTCGATATGATATCGAACAAGGGGCCATTATTTCATGGCCGCTGCCTACTTTACCCAGAGTCATTCTTCCTGTTAGTGGAAGTTTTTGTAAAGGAATGGACTTCATAATTTCTGTGTTAAGTAACAGCTGATCAAACGTCAGATATCCTCCATTGTACGATCGATAGATGGGGTCTTCGCTCCTCATGGACAGCTCTACACTCCCATTGTCAAACTTTATATCTCCGACAAAGGAAAGGGGTTCCTTAGGAAAGTTTAACTTAGTTTGCACAGTGAAGGACGAATCGTCCTGGTTTAGCGTAAACTGCAACATGTTATCCCTAAGCACAAGACCATTACCTAGGACATAGTTACGATTTACCATCCCTGCCAAATTGAACCCATCGCGTTTCACGAGGCCCTGGATTCGGTACCACTGTTCACCTTCAAGCATGCTTTTGGCTGATTTGCACATTTTATCGTGATGGCAATCCGCGGGCATTCGAAATAGGCCGACCATTGATATACCACGCTCGAATGAAAGCCCTGACAGTGTTGGATTCTCGAACAAAGAATCATCGTCGTCCAATGATAGAACCAAAGACGTGTTGAAACTGTTTCTTAATAATTTTTTCAGTTTGTCCACATCATAGCCTGTCAGTGCCTCAATAATGTACGGCATGGGTATCTTCGGAAAGATAAAACCAACAGCGGTCTTTAATTGTCCTTTGTCTTCGTATACAACAGCTTCAGCTTCAGTGGTTTTGTCGACTCCCGGGAAGTTGCCAAGACCCGAGATGTGAATGTAACGATTTTTCTGTTTTTCCGAAGTGGCTGTTTTGAGTTTTGGTTGGATGAAATCAAAGTCACTCATTTGACTATTTTGGACAATGGCGTCGCTTTCAGCATCAGGGATAAACGACAGACCATATTGATTAGCCAGCAATCTAACCGACATCCTTTCTGCCTTTCCTGTGATGAAAACCACCTTAGTTTCGTCCTCTGTTTTCAAAGAGATATTTGCTTTTGCCCCTCCCAGCTCCGAAACCCCATGTCCTTCAAACGACCACGTGTTAAACTCGTCACCAACTCGGTGACGAAACGTGACATCGGTATCAGAAACGTTCAAGAGACCAGGAATGGCCGCGAAGGTTTCAGACACTTTGGCATGAACAGTAAAGGTTTCTTGATCGATGTTGTAACTAAAGTGATTAATGTTTACAGAGGACAGCTCTGGAAAACCGTATGGCAGAACTTTTATCCTAGAACTCGGTGACAGCGCTTTGAGGGTCTGTGCTACACTGACTTGCTCGTGACGTGAGGTGACGAACTTAACCAGTGGAGGATTGACAACCACGGCAACTTTTACCGGTTTCTTGTCCTCGCTTCCTAAGCGAAATGGCAACAGGAGAGTTAAGCCCTTAGAAATGTGGGACTGTAATTCGTCTGCCAGGATCCCTTCACCAAAAGATCTAAGTGGGAGCTTGTCAACATCTCCCGTGGAAGCAACGAAGCCAAAGTTTGTTCTTGTCTTTCGAAAGACTCTGGTTTTGGCAATGAGGTGGTTAATAAATGGGATTCTAAACAGGTCGTCACTAACCAGCTTTAGTAGTGCGCGCGAGGGCAGATCGTGTTGGAATTCCATTAAAACAGAAAACACACTCTTCTTTCCTGGCATCTTGCGTATAAACACCTTACAATCTGACGAATGCGTGTCAGCGAGTAGAGGGTCTCCAGAAATCATAAACACATAATCATCGTTTCCTTTGAAAACTGAGTACATCTCAACGTCCTTGAGAGAGAGTTCTTTTAGAGTATCCACATTCATCCCAGCATGCTCCACGCTTTTCTTCTCTGATAGGCTAGATGCCACTTCGTAAACGTTCAGTCTGTCCGCTGCTGCCACCATAGTGTGATGGTCGCCAATTTTTGATTCCTCGATTTTAACTGTTGCTGTCATGTTACCGTGTTCCCACTTTCCTGTGGTAAAGTGAAAGTTAGAGTTCAGCGAAATCAGGCATGATAAGTCTTTTAACGGTTGTCGTAAGAACAAAATCAAGTGAGTAACTAATAAGAGCCAAACACAGACAGCAATAATCACTTGCCAAAAAAAATGAACAACTAAACAAAAAAAACACCTAAAGCGAAGACGAAAAATGTACACATGGTTTCAAGGGCGGGAAAACGCTTGTGAAAACAGAACAGTTAACAAGTGCGATAAGATTTGTACAAACTAATTGATTATAGTTGGGAAACTTTCTGTTATACTTGCGAGATCAGACGCATTAGTCGACACGTGTCCGAATGACCTTGACGATGAGAAACAAATACGATCTGAAAAACAAGCTATAGCAGAGGTTTGATTGCTCGTTTCATCACCAAGGTCGCTTGTAAATTTCGCCGCTGGTATAGGTGGCCCACATTAAATTTTTTTGTTCCCCCACCCCCCACGTCCTTAAAAGAGATTGACGAAAATCAGATAAGAGGAAATGGAGGAAAACTTATATCGCTATGATGTATGAACTCACCCTCAGCGTTAAACCGCCATCTTCCACCAGGTATGTTCTTGTTGTACTTGAAAGTCATTTGCACGTCATGAAGTGTCATTCCTTGACCCAGAAGTCTGACAGGGTCCTCTAGGTCTGCAGTGACTGTGACTTTACCTCTGTTGGTGCTGTAGTCAAACTTGTCTGTCTTCAGCTCTGATAAGGAAGGGAAGCCGTCCGGCATGGAAGGCATGGAGCCCAGTGGAACAATCTTTCGAAGAAGTCGCTCAGCTGACGAGATGTCATCTGTGTGGAGTCGAAAAGTAAAGTCGAAAGTGTAAGTGCAAGTGTTAATATGCTTGGATACCTATAAATTTTAGGGGCTTCTCGGATGAGCAGCTGGTGTGTGGGAAAACGAAAGAGGGGTGGGCTTGAGTCAACAGCCCCATCCCCCACCTGTAATTTTAACACTACGTTGCTTCAAAGCCAGCCCGTTTAACGACCAGACGCCAACGCAGGTAGTATGGAGAGAGGAATGCCCTCCTGAAGGAGGATGCCTGACGCTATGTAACATACGCGGAAAGGAAGTACCATCACTCACTTGCT